TGGCGTATAGTTGTTAGACATGGCTTTGAAAGCATGCAATTAGTGTCGGGCATGTATTCCGGCGCTCATCTCATTGTGGACTCCAAACTGGACCAGACATTAGTGCCCCCGGAGTCCACTCCCGATGACAAACACCTTATATACGGTGTTAATTGTGATCTACAACTCAATCATATTCTGATGGCTTCTTTTTATGGACAAACATTATATCTATTCTCGAAATCTTGATATTTTTATTTACATTTACCGATAAAAATAAATATAATAAATGCAACAAAACTTTTGTAATTCTTATACTAATTCTAAAGGAAAATACTTTTGTAAATATAGTTTGCAATAACGAAGGAACAGATATAATGTAATGAAACTTGTATTACAGGAACTAATGGATGGCTATTTATTACGTACTATTTATTTACCGTAATATGACATTCAATGGCCAGAAAATAACAATCACTTTCTAAACAATCGATACATTTTGAGTATATCTTTGTCTTTCATGTGCAATAGTTTGTCGACAATCCAATCGCTTTGATTGTCTTTCATGTAATGCCGGATAAATCTATCATTCATTTGATAAGTGAACCAAATATTAAACATTTATAACAAACCTAACCATTGGATAACTTACTGGTAATTCAAGCAAATCTTGTTTTGCATGTATTTATTGAAACTCATAAATTTGAAGTTTTGGTTTGACATATGATTTTGGATTAAGTCATTGATTCCCGAAACACAATCAAAAACGACAAATATCTTAACAGTCACTGAATCGGGCGCTAAATGTTTGGACAATAAATGGTGTAAAATATCTCAATATTAGACATTTTCAATGATATAACCATTTCATACATTGTTTCATGATTTGGATGTTATAGGGATAACAGAAGAGTATGTCTTCGGTGTTCACTTTGAGCAGTGATTTCTGTTGTAATGAATAATCGGAGTAATTCTTAACCACTTCTTCGTAAGCCTTTAAATATGATATGAAATTCAAGTCTTAAATACATTAAAATTGTTCACACAATCAATGGTTACCTCTTCGGTGATCATCTCTTTGATGCCTTCGATGTGATCGTTGGCTAAATTGGATGATAATGATATAAGGTAAGACATACCTAGACACTATTTGGCTGGTCTTAGGCCACACACAGCCGACGGCACACCACAAACAATACACATATAAACTTTTAATTAAGAAAACATTTACTAAATTTAGA